AGGATGAGGGAGTGGGGCCTAGGGGCAAAGCATGGGTGGGGCTATGGCCTGGCTGTTTGGGGAGGCTTAGCCTCCCCTGGCCAATTATACCCACCACCCATGAAATATACACATTTTTATTACAATGATATGTAAAAAACAAACAAACACACAATCACCATGTTTCATGATTAAAGAAGTGGTCTATATAAAATACACAGTATATTCATCTACTAAAGAAAACTACTCTGAATGGATAGGTAGTTGTACAAATGTTTATCAAGTGCCCTGTTTGATTTATGGTTATTTCCTATACTCCATAAGAAGCTGATTTAGCTGCTATTTTAACAAAGTATAATGGGTACCTTTAATCAGCTGTAAGATTTATAATCTGCATCTGTTTAATCAACTTTTGAAAATAGAAAACGTGTTTTACAAAAGAAAGATGTCAAACAGTGATTTGGACAGTACTTGCTCACTTTATTGGATTAATAACCTGAACTATACCTGAGTGGAGTTAGATAGTTGGTTTTTCCACGGCTCCTCTGCGCTGCTGGTCAGGTTTGTGCGGTTATGAGGTAGAGAGAGTGCGTTTCGCTGCAGGTAAGGCACATTTCCATTACTTCCACTTCCTGTTATGTGATTATTGCCTATCAAAATAGTGTCTGTACTACCCAGCGTTCTTGCTGTGCTGCAGGGAACTGGGCCTGCTGGAAAGGGTCCATTAGCCAGAGGCTGCCCAGGGCAAGCCGGACGGATTCCATGCTGAGTGACATTAGGCACTCTGGTTAAAGCAACCTGAGGCTGCTGACCAGAGACAGAGTTTGTAGGCAGTGATGAGTCAGTTGTTGGCCCATTAGAAATTCCAGTAGATCGTACCTGTGCAACTCCTGTTTGCCTCATCTAATGAAAAATTAGTAAGACAAAAGAATAAATTAATCACATGATTAAGACTACAGTAAAAGCTTTTTTTTAATCCGGCATGTTAGGAGAAGGGGGGGGGAGGGTTTGCCGGAAAGTGAAAAATTCCAGTTAACTAAGAGGCAATGAGTTTGGGTGTGGGGCGCAGGCTCTGGAAGGGAGTTTAGCTGCAGGAGGGGGCTTGGGGCAGGGGCACGGGAGGGGGTGCAATGTGCTGGATCAGGGCGGCGCTCACCTTGGGTGGCTTCCCACAAGAGGCAACATGTCCCAGCTGCTCCTAGGTGGAGGCGCAGCTAGGCGGATCTGCATGCTGCCTCCATCCGCAGGCGCCGCCCCCACATCTCCCATTGGCCGAGAACCCCGGCCAATGGGAGCTGCGGACCCAGCGCTCGGCGTGGAGCAGGATGGTGACAGCCTAGGAGCAGCTGGGACATGTCGCCCCTTCCAGGGAGCCACGCAGAGCCAGGTAGGGAGTCTGTCGGCCCTACGCCAATCGGATTATAAACCAGACTTTCAAGGAAGATCAGAAATGCCTGTTTATACAGCTTTTCGGTTTGTAAAGTGCTGGATAACACAGCTTTTCCTCTATATAAATATTGTGTACTGTTAATTTATTTTTACTATACTGTTTCAAGTAAAGTTTGGTTGAAATTATGTTAACTTTTTTCAACTTTTTTTTTGTAGGTCAGAAAAGAGGTTCCTTCCAGTTTGTGTTGAGTGGTAGAACTGACATTCGCACAAATGGTGAGTGAATTTTAAGATATAGTTATTGAAGGCAGACTTTTCTTCTAGGAGAGCCATAAAGATATATATAGATATATATTAGGTGTTACTATTAGGCTTTTATTATCGAACACAAAAAAATAAGGGACGCGAGCAAGAGGCAGGAATGAGAGGCTTATTTCTTAACTAGACTGTTTCTCAAACTTTGTCAAATAGCTGACCAGAAAACAAATTAAAAAATTGGTTAATCATCATCTCTGGTAGTCCTACAATAGAAAACAGCTAACAACAGATGTCTTTCAGCCAGTAAATATCAATCACAATAAATGAAATGTCAAAGAAAACAGAAGATGTTATGTAAACTGGTAAATAGGGCATGAAAACATGTACAATACAAATAATTCAGGTTCAAAAAGAAAACAGAATGCACCACTGATGCAAGTACTGAAGATTAGAAAAATATTTTTGCTCGCACCTGCTGGTGTTGCTGCATCAAGACAAACTGACTCTCCAGCTGTTCCAGCATAAGTTTCTGTGCTGGATTTAGATTTCTGTTTGCACGCAGCTGTTCCAAGTCCTATGAAAAAAAAACACGGCAGCATTATTTAGAATCAATCAACTTACAACTGATTAAAAAGCGTCCTGATAACAATACTTAACACTGTCAGTACAAGTAAGGTTTCTGAAACTGAGAAAATATAGACCAAAGCTCCTAAAAGGACCAAACCCCTTTCTATAATCCACTGTTATACTAAAACCTCTGTATAAGCATCTTTTATCTACTTAAGCTGAAAAAGACTTGATTATCTCAGTATATGCTATAAAACAGTACTGCACATAGTTCTTAAGTGTTAGATATGATTAAAGTACGTTTTGTCTGTGAAAGAATATTAAATTCATAAAGTTCTTAAAACGTATACCACTCTTGACAACACATATTTTGTAATTTTCTCGTGTGTTATTCTTGCACTATGATACAAATCTCAAAATATTCAATCCATTTTATATAAGAAAATCATTCTGTGTGAACTCACACTAAAATGGGAAATAGGCAAATATACACAATCTTTACCTTAGAGAACAATAACTGAGCTACAAGACTGAACAGTTTTATAACTGAGGCTATGAACACTTATTTTAGTGCTAAAATGTTTCTGAAATTTCGTCTCTATTTTCATTTAAGCTGCTGAGCACATAGTATTCATATTTTAACTCTTAAGAAAATCCATGGCCATATTATGAAGAATGAATAGCTACCATAGTTAACTAATTAGGTTGTACGTTAATATATAATTGTTGAAGATATGAGACAATAAAGTGGCTGTTGGAAAAGAAATACCTCAAAACAAACAGGATAAAACAAGAGCCAAAAATCCCAACCTGGTTACTTACCTGTACAGAAACTGTGCTTCTTCAAGATGTGTTGTGCACATATACATTCCATAATTATAGATGTATGTGCACCAAATAAACTTGAGTCTGACACTTCTGCCAGCAATACTAGCAGGTGGCGCATGGGCCTTAGTTATCCTTTTGCATCGATCTAGGAGTACCAAGGGGAGTGGTGACCACCTCCCGCTCCATTCTTTTGTACCAATGGAATTTAATACCCAAAGCAGAGGTGAAGGTGGGAGGCTTGTGAAATGTGTATGTGAATGACACATCATGAAGAATAATAGTTACCATTCAAGTAAGAAGCCTTTTTTTTTGGCCTTAGAGTGATTGTGTTCATATACATTGCACTGTTGGTGAATCACCAGCAGCTTTCTTTACAGGTAGTGGGACTTTGGATTACTTGGAGAGAGACTGTAAGGGTATGTCTATGCTGCAATGAAAGCCCGAGCTTGAGCCCGTGCTCAAACCTGATTCTCTCCCCCCGTGTTTACATTGCAATTGCACTAACCCAGGGTTCCAGGACCCTGCAGGGCTGGAGGGTCTGAACTTGAGTTAAGCTGGGAACCAGGGTCCAGCGAGTAGTTTCGCATATGCCTAGTCCCTGTGCTATTTGGTGATAATTTCCAAGATTCTGCCCAGTTTGAAAACCTCTTTCATTTTGCTGTATAGATGGCTCTAGCGTAATCCTTTCTGCTACTCACTAAAATGGCCTCGACAGCTCCAGAGCAGACTCTCTCCTCACTGCACAAGCAGAGATCATCCATGATGTGAGGCAGAGAACTTTTAGGTTGAGGTGTAGTGACCTGCCTTGGTTTTGAGACAAAAGATCCTTGACTGGGGTAGAGTGGCTAGGTATGAGTGGCTCAATCAATTTAAGTCTGTGTATCAATACTGCATTGGCCAGGGGGGTGCTATGAGAATTAAGGTTGGCTTGTCTAATTTTAGTTTCCTGATCACCCTTGGAATCAGAGGAACTGGAAGGGATGCGTACAGCAGATGGCTTGACCAGGGAAGAAGAAACATATCTGTCATGGAACCTGGGCTGTGACCTGCCCTGGAACAGAGCCTCTTCCATTGGTTGTTCAGGTTGGCTGCAAAGAGTTCTATCAGGTATCCCTACTGATGGAAGATGGGCTGCAGAATGTCCTTTCTTACTGTCCACTCGCGATGGTCTATGGTTTCTACTGAGGGAATCCACAACAGCGTTCCTCACTCCTGGAAGGCAAAAGGCTTTTAGCAAGATATTGTTCTTTATACAGAAGTTCCACATGTGGCGCAGCTGAGATGACCTTGCACCTCCCTACTTGGTCAGATGAAACACAGCAATGGTGGGGTTGCTAAGAACTTGAACCACTTGACCTCTGCTGGTGGTAACGAACATCTCACAGGCTTGATGAATAGCTTGAAACTCTAACATTTATATGGAGTGAAACCCCTCAAGGTGTCCAAAGTGCTTGAGCCTGAAGTTGACCCAGATGTGTCCCCCCAACCACTGGTGGCTGCGTACGGTTTGAGGGTCCAATCCAGACCAGAGCGCTCATGAAGGTCCAAAAATCAACTTGCCCACTGAACATCTGCTCAGATGATATATCGAGTGAAGCCAGGCTTGCAGTACGGTGAAGTCTGACACGTTGAGTCACACGGGTGCATGAGGTCATGTGCCCCAGTAGTTGTAGATATGGACTGCTGTCTTTGGGTTGGACTTGAGGATTTCAGATAGACATGCTATGGACTAAAACCTGTCCTTTGGGAGATAAAACATGGCAGTTATGGTGTAGACACCTGCTCCTCTGAAACATATTTGTTTCATAGATTGTACATTTTTTTGTCTATATTCAGTTTTAGGACTAGACGAGAGAACAGAAGTCTGATGACAAGAATGTTGCTTTCGATGTGGCCTCTTGACATTTCCTGAACTAACTGCCTAGGTAGGGAAATATTTGAACACCTAACCTGTGCAGATGGGCCACTCCCTCTGTCATACACTTGATGAACCCCTAGAGTCAAACACAGACTGAAGGCTAGCACAGTGTACTGGGAAGGCTTGTTGTCTGGCATGAATCGAAGGTGCTTTGTGTGGGCAAGGCATATTGCCACGTGAAAGCAAGCATCCTGCAAATCGAGAGCGGCATACCAGCCTCAAATTCCTGAAGAAAGGATAACAGATACAAAAGTGACCATCCTGAATTCAATTTTCTAACACTTCCAATTCCAAAAAAGCCCGACTTCCTGAAGTAAAACAGTTTTATGAAATGGGCCCCGAAAAGGGACAGGGAAGGTAGGTTGGGGAAAGGCAGGGAGGTGAACTTGACAACATATCCCTCCTTTACTGAGCTGAGCTCCCACATGTCCGATGTAATCTCTGTACATGCATTGTAAAAGAGAGATAGGCACTTTCAAAATGGTGGAATAGGACATATGGTTGGTGCTATGTCCTTGATCGAAATGTCAAAATGACTGGTTTGAAGCCGATGAGGTCGGGTGAGAAAGGCTTGCTGCAGATGATGCCGAATGACGACTGCAGACAGGCTCAGATCTCCTTCTAGAGACATCCTGAGGTTTTGGCTGGTAAAATGTTCTTTACTGTGTCTGAGGTTTGAACTGTTTCCTCTTTTTTACTGGGAGGCAGACATGCAGCAAATGAAAGATTGGATGGGAGTCTTTTAATGCATACATAGTATCATCGGTCTTTTGAAAAAACAGTTTGGATCCTTCAAGTAGTAGGTTTTATATTCTGTATTTCTATCTGTAAACATGGAAAAGTGTTGTATGTGTCGACAGGTGCTTGGATAGAGAACTGGGAAGTGAAGTGTCATTTGGAAACTATGTCCAAGAACCGTTCCTTGTATTCTTCGGGGAATTTGTTTGCAAACCCCGAAATTGCTGACCAATTAAAAAGGTTTATTTAGACAACAATGCCTGAATTTGAAATCCCTGTTTGTACAGTCACAATGATATAGGCCTTTCTGCTACGTAAGTCTGGTCTCCTATACTAAAGCTTTTGGGGTAGCCTTAGGGTGAGACCACCTCAAATGCTCATTGGCCATTGTGATCACGAGAGTGTTTGGGATGGGGTGAATACAGAAATAAATCAAATTCCTGCTGGGGAACCTGGTAACACCTGTGCACCCATTTGGCAGTGAGTGGGGTAGAGCTTGGCGTCTGCCAGATGGTCTCCACAGGTTCCAGACAGCCTTCATTAATGAGAAGAGCAAAGCTTTACAAAGCATGAGTTTGCAAGGAATCTAACAGTTAGCATGGATTGTCTTGCACAGATTCCATGTGCACTCCTATAGATGTGGCCTTCCTCCACATGACATCCAGAAATATTTTAAAGTCTTCAAGGGGAGTTGATGCGAGATCTGGAATGATGGCCTCATCTGGGGAAGAGGAAGAAAAATGGGGATGATTGGAGGGGAAAACTGGTATCTAGTGGTTCCTCCCTTGTCTCTTCTTCTCTGTGGCACCAACAAATGAGACGTTAGAGACTGCAGGAGGATCTTCCCTAAGTAGCCACTGATATTGGAGAAGGAAACATCCTCCTAGACCAGTGGTTCCCAAACTGGGGTTCGTGAACCCATGGGGGTTCGCAAAATGTTACAGGGGGTTCTTGGGAAAAAATTCCCTAATGGTGGACAGAGCTGTCCCTAGGGATTCTGGGCAGCACGGGGCCAGCAGCCTGGAGCCCCTGGACTTCCAAGAGCTAAGGAGATCAAAGCAAGCATATCTATCACACTGAAGAGATTTAAACTTCAAGACTCCTTATAAGAAATAGAAAGGGAAGTGGATATTTTTTGCTGTTTTTAAAATTAAATATGCAGCTAGTATTGTTTTTAAAATTATTATGAAGAACATGTTTAAGCTTTGTTGTAACATGCATTGTTTGCCTGGACTGCTCAAGACCCGAATGCTTGTGTAGGAAGAAGTCTTTGGGTTGGCTTCTTAAATACCTTCATGCTGTTTCACATCTGATACTCCTTGATGAAACATAGGAGCCTTGTCTTATAACAAGCTTATTCAAAGTGATACAAGCTACAAAAGTGAGATCTTGGAAGAGTGTTGCCGTTTTCATAATGATAAATAATAATTATTAATAGTGTATAATAAGCATGTCATAAAAACAAATTTTATATTTCCAAGATCACTACTTTTATAATTTATACTCAGGTAAAGGAGAAAATCCCTGGAAATATTCATTTTTAGGAGGGGGTTCGCAAGACTTGTTAAAGTTTGGGAACCACTGTCCTAGACTGAGTCTCTGAAGGGGGCCTAGATGCTCTTGGAGCAGCCAAAGTTACCCAATAAGGCCAACAGGAGTATTCCAGTCTTTGTACCGCCCACAGTGGTGGGCGCCATATAGGGGCATCCTAGTAAGAACAGTGTTCTTGATATGTGGTATGAATGTTCCTAGAGCATGACCTGTATGGAGACCTGAAAAGACCTTGAATGAGGTACAGATCTATTATGGTCAGATTCTGAGAGGAAGAGAGATAGCTTTCCTCGGTGACAGAGAAGCAGTTACAGTAGACATATACATGGTGCTTCCCTAAAAGTATCAATATCAACTATGTATCCAACAGAGCCAGTGGAAGTGGGTGACATGGTTGGAAGGCAGAAAGGTGGGTTGACGTTAACTATGCTGGCAGAGCCAGCGTTGAAGGCTGCATGGACGATAAAACTGGAGATGCTGGTGTCGTGGTAGTATATGCTGCTGATGGTGCCAAGCTGGTTGAGGTTAATGTGATTGATGCCAGGCAATATCGTGAAGGAAAACCCAACAGTGGGAGACACAAAAGGTCCTTCACCTCAAAGAATGCCTGCAATGCTGACAGCACCAAAATCAGAGGCAAGTATTCCATTGCCATTGTTGGTGACAGTAGATCTGATGGTGCCAGGGTCAAGGATCTGTCTGGCAATGGTGAAGGCACTGGTCTCAACAGCCCAGTTGGAGCTGGAGTCGATGGTGCTGCATCATATGGTGCGTGCGACCAGACCTCGACTCAGCACTCAAGAACGTTTTAGCAGATTTCTTGTGGCGTGAAGAATGAGACTTGGACAATCTCTCAGTCTCAGAGAACAAAGATGATTTTGGACACATCAAGGACACTGAGGGAGAGGACAATGAGCAGTGTTGATTTGGACAGTCAAATGGGGCAGTCGTAAGGACATTCCTTGTGGAAGGGCAGTCCACCCACTCAGGCTGAAGAGGGATGCATTGCCTTTTCCATGAGACATACACGAGGGCAGAAATACCTCTGTTTCTTCGGCCTCATCAGAAATGAGGTCTAAAGAGTACGCTTGTTCCTCACATGTCCCTTGTACAAGCAAATTAGACAGCTTTTGTGGCTATCACATACAAATAATAGAAATTCTTATTTTCTAAAGGCTGGCTAAGTGAAGCTGAAGAGCAATGGAGAGCTCTAACTCTCACTGTGGGTTGTAAGAAGAAACTGAGAGGGAAGTGCACACCACACCCTTTTATACTGTTGGCTCAGCGTGCGAGGATAGCAGGGGCACATACACTGACTGCTACTGCTGCCAGCAAAGGCCTCTGACTCAAGTGCATTGGGCGCATACACTTACAACGGAATGTATATGAGCAAATCACTCAAAGGAGAATTGGACATTACAGACACTATTTTCTTTAATTGCTCTTAGGTATTGAGCCATTACATATCTTATGAACTAATTTTTCCAAACAACAAGAAGCTAAAGTTAAAAAGGTAAGTCATTAACTAGCTGATTCACTATTCTGTTCTTTTGAGTATATGTAATAGGTTGGTATCAAGTTTATAGATTTTTCATGTATATCCTTTTGTAGCTGTATCAGTTTGTGTATGATTCTGTTCAACTATTGCTAATAAAGCTAAAGCATGATACAAAACAATGCAAATATTCAGAGATCAATGTATTTATTTCTATTTTGAATAAGTACACTCCTAAACCTCTAAGTAGATTCAAACTGTCACTATTTTAAAAAAGAACAAAAAAAACCCAACAAATAAGAGAAATGCTTGCTTACCTCCCAATCCTCCCACCCCCAAAACTGTTCTAAGGTGAAGAAAAAGCAGCATTAATTCCTGGACTAGTATCAAGTTTATGGTCTGATATCTTCTGTTCATCAGGGATCGCAATGAAAGCTTTATACCATACAAATATCAGGGATCTTCCTTGTCCTATACCATAAACCTTATGAGTAGACCTATTTTAGGAGCTTGAACACCAACAGAAAACAATTTAGGTGTTTTATTTCAAAAGGACTTCTTATATTTATTATTTTTTCTCCATGCACAGGTGAGCTCGTGGTACTAAAGAAAACTAGTTTTATAGGTGGAAGGATGTAAAAAAATAACACCAACAATATTTTTTTTTAAACAAAGACATTTCTAAAATGCTTTCTCTGTAAATTGCATTACATATACAGAATACAAAGACAGACATGGAATGAAGGTTTTATTCACTTTCATATGAGATGACCTTCATAACTCATTTCTGGCTTTGTCATTCATGGATAATGAAACCATATTAAATGAATGTTAACAAATCCTTTATTCCATACATAGGATGAAGAAGGTAATGACACTTTCCCTTAAAGAGAAGGAAACAAAGTGAAAAAAGACAAAATGCTAGTGAGGTCTGAAAGGGAAGAGAAAAGTAGGAGAGATGGGAGAAAGCAGAGAGAAGTTATAAAGGTTGAACAAAGGCAGGAGAGACAAACAGGTGAAAAAATAAAGCAGTATAATAAAACAATGCTGATGGCTAAGGAGGCAATAAGTAAGGGATTGTTTTTCAGGTACAAAAACTATTTCTCAATTGTGCTCAATGCCCACAACCTTTGGGCAGTATACCACAGTTTCAGTATTTCCCCTCCTCAGAGCAAATATTTTTCTATTAATGTCCTTGCATTTAGTCAATATTTGTGATATATATGGTGACTACTTCTGCCCAGGTATGATTTTCAAAATGTGCACTCTTTTGCTGCTACTTGGTGTGGTACACTGCAACCTATGCCAGTGAGCTGAAGAATAAACTGAAACTACTGTAACAAAACAAACTATATTTGAGTCAAGGACTCAAAAATAAAGTCCAGCACTTCAACTGTAGAAGCCATGTGGTCTGAAATCCATGAACACCAGAGCTGAATTTCAGCTCTCTCCATTATTAGTGATAATTTGTGCAAAAATCCTTCACTTATCAGTTTGCCAAATAAGGACACAAGAAGTTATCTCACATGGATATTGGGAGGGGTACAGTAGTTGTGCAGCACCTGTAAATCTTAGGCAGCACGAGTCATAAGTATTATTCATCTGACATCCAACAGTATGACTACTTCACACATTAAGTTAAAAAATGTTACAACAAGAAAAAATATTTACTTTTATCTGTCCATCTTACAAATTTATTATAGTGCTTATGTAATTAAAATATTCAACTTGTGTTATGTCACTAACCTGGAACTCAGGTTTTGTTTGTTTCTCATTTTAAGCTTGATTTCACACATACCACAAGGAAGCTATAAATATGAAAACTACTTGTATCAAACAATAAGCATTATAGCAAAGTATACTGAATATTTCACATTCGATTCAGAAGTTAAAATCTGAAAAGTTTCTTTGAGTCCATTTCAGATATATTTCTGATAAGAAAACAAAGTCTCAAAACCGCTCAGGGTTTTCTTTAACGCACTTACCTGTAATTTCTGTGGTGTCAAACACCAAGAATGAATTTGTTGCTGTACCGGAGGATGTGACACCGTATGGCCACTGCTCCAAGCATCTGAAGTATTCTAAGAAAAACATTAAATTAAAATATATGACTATCAAAAGAGCAAATGTTAGTTTTACAAAAGCTAGACATTAACTTCTTGATGAAAGGACTAATCACAGGTTTAATAATAATACAGCATATAACAAGAATACTAAAATATATTTTATCTCATTTTACTTCAACCTATATAGTATCGGAACAATGAGAAAAAAGTAAATGATATTAAATATATCATCTAATACCATAATGACAAGGAATCAAATTAAGTCACTACCTCTTGAAAAAGTAACATCCTGAATTTTAGATAGAGGCAAAGGCAATAGACAGAACAAAATGGCCATTTCCTTCTCTATTACAATACTATGATTATATCCTGAGATTAGGATAATTACTTCTATATATAGTGTCACTAATGTGTATTGCACTTAGGTACTTACTATCTCAATTGTAATCTCTTAATTAAATACACTGCTGAAAAATGCACTAACCTCAACACATGAACTTCTAAAACATTCCCCACCTTGATGCCAAAGGATTACAATTAAAGTACAAGTGCTGTGTACACTGCACAATTTCTATGCATATTTCTGTATAATTTTGGTTCGGGCTCTTTAGTTCACCAGAATATATACCTTTGTTGGACTAGATGTTCTTTTCCTCTTGGCAGGACTGGACAGGTCATCTACTTGGCTAGAAGGAATCATGTGTAGTGGCAAGGATTGCTGTGAAATTGGTGTTTGAGTGAGGCCTAGTACAGGTTCAGTATTTGGATGATGAGGTTTACAAGCCTACGAATCACAGAAGGAAGACAAAAATATGGTTCTATATATTCTTAATTCTTTCAATTAAGCTACACACTTTTACGATCTGCATATCTTAAAAGGGCTGTGTGGATATACTGAAGATGACTCAGTTACTGAAAATCAGTTTCCATATGGTCATCAATGGAGGAATGTGTACCTTTCTTGGGATTATTCTTTTAAAAAACAACCACTGTAGCATTTCTACTTAAGATGAAATCTCTCAAAATCATGAAAATCCACAAAGGTTCTAAATTGGTACCCACATATTTCTCCCACATTATAGGGAGTCTTTTCTTGATCTAAATCCCTTTGCAAATAAATCAAAGGCTTTTTATTAATGAAAGCCAGCCCTGCACTCCGTAAAATAAGCTTGACTACTACAGATTGTAAAGAACCCTTAAAGCTGGGCACCTGCAGAACATAACCCAACTTCTCACCTGCTGTGCTGTGTTCATGGCACCCTGCCTGGAGGTAAGCTCTGCGGGGATTGGTAGGCTCCATGCCTCCTCAATACTAGGAAGTAATTTAGTTTTATTCTGTAGACTACCTTGTGGAAGGTTACACAACTGAGCCTAGGAAAAATTATGTAAAAAGCAAATTTAACACAAGCCTACTTTATTAAGAGCAAGTCCACGAAATCTTCCTAAATGCTGTAGCTAATTACGTCTTAAAGAGAGAATAGATTTAAAGTCTGGGGTTTTAGAAAGGTGCTAAGTATAAAGAGGGTAACCAGAATATAAACCTTTGTGAGAATCAGAATAAAGTTGAGCTCTGGTTTCAGAGGTCTCGTAACTCTTTTCTTCTGAAATTGCAAACAAGAGTGAAAGATAGTGTGTGTATGTGTTCTCTCTCTCTAAATGCTATGACAACTTAAAAATGTAGACAGTACATAGAAAAAAAAAGTGATGTAAATCAATATGCATCAACTGAGTAATGTGCAAAACAGCATTAATTACAGGGATTGAGTCCCACTTAAAAATGGAGACTAAAACAATATTACAAGCTATGATATGTTTACAATAAATATGGAAACAGGTTATACACACCATGAAACAATTACACATTAATTGGTATGTTATTTTCCACCTCCCCGCCTGTTGTGTACCGGGTAAAATATTTCCCTTCCTTAAAGCTTTAAAGTTTTACCTGTAAATATTTTATCCGTGCTGCAAGTGCAGAGGTATTACTACAATTTTTGCTCCTAGTTGCGTTTAAGTAGCATTTAATGGCATCCTGAGGCTGGTTGCAGGACTCATAGAGTGTGCCTAAGTCCATCCAGGCTGCAGCATGGCCATGGTCCAATTGTACAGCACAGATATAGGCTTGTAAAGCATCCATAGGCTGATTTTGCTGTTGATATAGCACACTGAATAAAAAGATTGGTAAAGTTCAAAATTAATAAAGTCTGAATACAAACAAGTCATATACCTCCCCACTAAACTCAGTATTTCTCACATGGTGAAGAAGAAAAACTTCTGTATCTCAAGTGGAACACACCATTACATAATTCACCGTGACAACCATGAATAATACATTTTTATACCTTAACATGACAAGTTAAAATATAAAGTACAACCAATATTGCAACCTAAAATTTAAGAGAGCAAATACCTACATATTACTTTAACTTCAAGATATTTATAGCATGGTTGACAGAACATTAATATATTAGCTACCAATTAGGAGCTTTATGATCTACTGAGAACATAACTGTGTTAAAAAAGCTGGTCCTTGTTTAAATACATTAAAATTCAATTATAGTACTGCTTTTCCCTGCATCATTCTTACCCTATAGAACACCATGTATCTGCACTTGCTTCTGATTTATCAATAGATTGCCTATAAGATATAAAGGCATCCTGAACTTTCCCAATACTTGAATAGCACCTGGGAGAAGAGAGAAAGAACTGTGGTAATATTTAAAGTGATTATGGAGAATGGTTTGCCAAGAGTGGACTAGTTCTAGTAAATTCATGCAAATACAAATACATACACATTAATCCAAAATAACTACCCTTTCTGTAAGTTTGACACAAAATGACATTGAATGTAAACTTCTGAATCATTATTACTAATTTATTTGTAAAATACACTAATCCCTCAGCATCAGCTGTGCAAAGTTTAACTTGCTTTAAATTCTAATACATGCTACATTATACTAATGTCCAGAATTAATATTGCATTCTGGAAATGTACACATTTCACCTGTGGTATTTCATTGAGCAAAAGGGAAAATATTTACATACAGATTGCAACACGGGAAGAATTAAACTGCCTGTTCCCAAATAGTTAACTTGTGTGCATTTTAAAAAATTAAATCTTGGTGGCATGGAAGTTGAAATACTAGAGAAGAGAATTTATGGCATCTCATATAGTGACACTACAAATACAGTGAGTATTTTAGTAAATAAATTTTCAAAAGCAGTATGACATGGTAAGCAGAAACACTAGAACACAAAGAAGAGTGAGTTACAATTATGCTACAAGGAAAAATGACTGCTTCCATCACAATCTGAAAGAAAAGAAGATACTGAAACTTTTTAAGTAGAAACGTATTTTCTTTGGTTTTGCCCATATTGCCTGCAATTATCTTCCCTGTTTACATAAGAACTAAAAGTCTTCAGAATACACAAAAAATAATTGAAAATTTATTCTTGTAAAAAATAGAGAGCCATATATGAGCAAAATAAAGGTAAAATTTTCAACCTTTAAGCAGGAAAAAAACCTGGAGGTTCTTCTTTTACATTATATTAGCTATAGTAGGAAAGGAATATAGTAAAGCACTACCAGTATTTTACTTCACTTATGAATATTCACCAGGATTAAGTAAAAAAGTTTCAAAAGATAAGAATAAGTTAGACTTAAAGGTAATGAAACAAAGTCCCAGCATCCGTGTTAAAATCGGTTTCTCAGATATTTTAAGGATCAGTGTCATGATAGTCAAATTCAACTCCCTCCAAAACTTAAAATAAGTGTATCAAAATAATTCAAATATAACAAAAGGAAAGAATGTTCAAACATAATTTACACACAACTAGAAAATCTAGGGAAATCAAAGTTGAAGAATTTTGTTTTAGTTAAAGCACTAAATTTGTTTATCTTCCCCATAATATGGGTAACAGTTTCTTTGACTGGATGGAAGAGATCTAACTCAAGAGTGTGTAATCAAGTCACACTCAAGAGGTTGCAGCCTACAGAAGATAAGACATATTAAAAGCATGAATATTGCTGGGTTACTGTTAACTAGTGATGAGTTTCCTAACTTTTCTATCTTTTTTAAAAACAAGAAGGGGCATAAAATGCACAGTATTTACCATGGAGAACAACAACAAAAAACAACATACAAGACAAAAAAATAACTTACAAGACACTCCCCCCCCCAAAAAAAAAAAAAAAAAAAAAAAAGGAAGCT